TGATATGACTGACTTTGGGGATTCCCCCATGGAGGGCCTTACCCTCCATGGAGAGCAGAGGGTGGTTGGAGTGGGGGGCTGGTGGGGTTTGGGGGGGAGGGGAGAGAGAGGGAGAAGGGATTGGCATATGAAGCAGGCTTGTTTCTAATTTGAACTAATAAAAAATAATTTCTTGGGAAAAATAAAGAGACAACCCCGCCTGTCTAACATTCCTAGTTTCTATAGAGCGTATCTGTGAGCACAAGGACCTCATGCCCTCCACATGTATAGAACTCCACTCTCTCAAAATTTAGGTCATATTCCTTAATTAGTCTGTTGCTCTTCTGGTATCCTTACCAGTAACTAGACAGCAAGCCTCATGAAAGGTCTTTTTCATTTTGCTTATCTTATCCTGCATATCATATTGGTTGCATGGTCTTACCTTTCCTCATTTACCATTTGTTAACCTTGTAGTAGACAGTCCCCTAACACACTGCCACAGGTAAGTAGGCATGTACCATCAGCCCAGAAAGTACTGAGGTTGTTGGGCAGCCCCTAGAAGAGGATGGGCAGTCTGTAACTGAACATGTTACTTGCGCTGGGTTCTCTGGAAAGTTTTTTTCTAGAATATGGGTCTCTGCCATGGTACATGTGCTCAGGTGTAGAGTTGGGTCACTTGTCTTCTGGCTACCTCATTGAGAGATCCCCATAGAAATCTTACTCTGAGCACACTGTGCCTTCTTTACCTGTTGTGGGGATTTCCTCGGCTGCCTCTGAGTCTCCAGGATTTGGTGAAAAATGAAGTAATCTAGTTGAGCTGTTTTACTACAATAATTTAATATAATCTAGTTTACAATTGTTTTCCTAGGAAAAATGCATGCTTAAAAATGAGTTTGTGAAAATCTTCTAAGTTTATGCTTCCAAAGGCAAACCAGACACTGCCTCTACTGTTTTGGCATTTTCTAGGCAGAAAATAGAAATGCTTCCCTGTCCTTACTCTTCCCCCATGGGTTCCTTTCTTTGTCTTTACTTCACCCCTAAATAATCTTTTTTCTCTGGGAAGGATGGGTAGTATACTCTGGGCTCAGTAGAGTTCTTGTCAAAGCTAGATGCTGATGAAATAAAGGTAAGTGTTTTCTTTATCAATGTCTGTATTTTGTTTTTATCTAACACAATAATTTGTACACCCATTCACCATTCCATTATAGATACAGAATTATATATACCTTTTTAAGAGAGAAAGTTTTGCATTTTAGTGTCTTGTAGGACTTTCTTTTAGACTCTCGTGGAACATGGCTCCTAGGGAAACCAAGGTATCATTTTCTCTTTACACAAATAGTGAAATTTGGTGAAGAAAATTCATATTGGCCACCCCTTCTCTCCCCCACACAACTGAAAGTCCCTGAATGTTCCCCTCCCACTTTTGGAAACAGCCCTTTGTGGCAGATGGAAGGAATTTCTACTGCCTGCATATGAGCAAAACCAATGGGTTTAGCTTAATTTGGTGAGGTCATAGAAATAGATTAATAAAAATGTGTATTGGGGTAACCTATAGTTTTCATGGCTATATTGTTCTTGGAAGAAATAGTAAAATCATACAATAGTCTGTTTTCTAAAAAGCCTAACTAGGTTAAAAATAATTAAACTAAAGTCGACCCACTGCAGGTCTCCTAAGAGAGGGGAGAATTTTCTGATATCTGAGTGTCATCTTCCTCCAAGCAAGCAGTAGTGATTTTATTCTAATGTTTTGTTTTGATTTTATTATCAGTTCTCATTGCTTGACAACCTGGAGCTTCTCTTAGGTTACTTTGGGGGTTCAAGAAAAGAATCTGGCTGGTGTTTTTCAGCTGCTATTTGTTGTTCTCTGTTGTCCACTAATCAGAGAATTAGTCCATGTTCCATGAGGCAAAGCCTTCCCTCAAAGGGACAATGCTAAGTGAGAAGGCAGCAACGTCAGAGGGAGTGTTTTTAGCTACCACTAAAAAAAGTCATTAAAGACTATTTTTCAGTAATGAAGAACTTGACTTTATACTCTTACAGACTTCTTCATGTCAGAACTCTTCCTCTGTGGTTTTTCTTCTTTATCATAATAGTCATGATCTGCAAAATTCCACTGATAAGAGTTGATTGGTTCTTCTGATTAGCTGAGCACTCAGGTCTGAGCAGCCTAAGTAGGATCGTAGGGTTTCTTGAGACCAATATTTCTTGTATACACCTTGAGAGAAGGGAAACCTGTCAATACATACATCCAATGAGTACTCCACTTGGGAATTGGAGGTTGTTAATTCTTGGTAGTTTTCCTTCTCAATTCAAACTTGAACAATGTCTTTTTCCTTCTTCTTCTTCCTTTTTTGGGGCACCCTCTACCTACAAAAAAAGAAGAAGAAGAAAAAGAACGCTACTGTCATTGTCGTACTGATGCTGCTTCAGTGACTTTTTGACTGATTCTTTCTAGTTTGCAAGTCTAAGTCTGTATTTTTCAATTTTTGGCTTATGTTAGCACCAACTTGCATTGCTTGCCAACTGAGTCTCCTTTGTGGGTTTCTGGTTGACTTGACACCCTCTCTCACTTTGCTGAAATTTGCAGCTGAATCTAAAGCTCACTTTCCACCTTAGCATGGTGACTTGACCTTTTGGCTTGGTTAAGGATAAATGCCATTGACACTTTACTTCCTGAGGATGAGTTTTACAAAAGCTTGCTGAGGTTTATTAGTTTGCTACTTGAAAGTGAATATTGGACAAGAGTCCCTGTAATTTCAATGAAATTGATGTGACTCTTTGCCCCTGCATATGAGCAAAACCTATGAGAATTAGTGGTGTTGGAAATATCAGAGCATGAAAAGTTCCTTTAATCTCTCCACAATTTTAATTATAAGATGCCACATTCTAACGTTTTAAAGTTGAATGGACAGTTGAATATTTGTGTTTGAGTCTGGCCTCCATGCACGTTTGCTGGATACCTTAAATGCTGTACCTGTAAAATAATGGCTTCATTGAAAACATTGGGCAAAAACAAAGCTTCTTTTACATTTCCTGTAGCTAACATGATGCTTAGGTAGTGACGTCCTGAACTCAGTGCATTTGTGCTTGTTTCTTCTCTTGTCCCCAATTATAAAAATTAAGTAATGGGAAAAATATTGCCTAAAGAACAGATGTTCCCTCAGAGGAGAGGTATTCAATAGTCCATATCTGTAACAGTGCTGCCTCCAAAGCCACTCTTCTTCCTTGCTTTGCTCTCTCTTAGTGAAGCATTTATATGTAGAATAAATAGGATAAAAACATAAAACACAAAGGCAGATTGTTTGTTCTAAGAACTTCTGTTCTTCTTATAAAACGCACCCACATGGTGTGGTCCATTTTTTCCCAATGCCCTCTCAGTGAGTGGCCTGAAAGGGGACTACTCTGCATCTGTCTGAGGCTTGAGTTGAAGAAGATAATAAATGGGCTGATCTACTGAGTTGAAGTGTACGGAGAGATTCCATTTCAGTGTGTGAATTCAAGATAACATTGAGAGGCAAATATGAGATTAAATAACAGCTGTTTAGCAGCAAATTCTTCTCCTAAGATTCACTGAACTATTTCATGCATTAGGTCTGGGATTTGAGGCTCACTGGGTCCAAGTCAAGTTTTGTCACTGAATGCTCACGATTCTTATTCATTTGAGGTGCATGATGGATACGTACCAAAAATATCTGTCTGTGCTGCAATTAAAATTCTTCACTCTAAATCCTTTATTTTTCAAGGGAAAAAAATCTCTTAAATTTTAACTACCTCTGCAACTCTTACAGTCAGCCAAACTAGGAATATTAATTACTAAATATTTAAAAAGTACAACTTAGAATTACCTAGAGATTTCTGCCTAGCTGATTCTATTATTTTCTTTCCAAAATAGAGTATCATAGCTTCTTTTCTTACATATTTTAATATGTTTAAGTCATTTTAAGTATAAAGCTGCCTACATATTGACTGATTTATTCAACAATACTTGATCATCAGCTTCTGCCTGGATGAGCTCTGTGTCTTGAATGGAGAAGCATGGTCTAAATCCACAGCTTCTCTGATACCTTCTTTGTCTTCAGATTCCCATTTTAGACCAATGATGATACACATTCTGGAGTTAATTTCTTTTCTCTTACTAAAGGGAGCATTTTAGTACCTTGTATTTCCCTGTCTTGCATTCTTTTGCTGTTAAACACCATAAGTCCTTGCTTCCCAAGCCCTTGATAGTGTTAACTTGAATTTCATCTTGACTATCTTAACATGGGTTCTCTTGAGACCACTTAATTTATTCCTTTACCTTGTGGTACTTTATGTGATGCAGTATTTTGAGCTGTACATATTGAAATTTAGGTTATTTCCTTCTTTAGATCTTTTGGGCTTTTTGTTTGTTTATTTGTTTTTGTTTTTGTTTTGTTTTTTGGAGGAGGATGAACATCGAGAAAGGCCCCGGTCCCTTCATGTTACCCCAGGGCTATTAATTGCAGTGTTTAAAACTGGACACAATTTCTATTGTATTGCTTTTTTATGATTGCTATGGTTGCTAAATTCTGATAGAACTGTGGGCTAGTGGAAATGGCAAGAAAGGGTAATAAATTTTGAAGAGTTATTTCTCATACACTTGGTAAATATTTTGTAAAAGCCACACTTTTGTACCATGCTTAAAGAAGCAAGTGACTAATAAGAAGAAAATGATGATGAATTTCTGATACCAGAGACTTAGCAAAACAAACACCAGCTGATTAGTGATTGCTGTAAATCTTATTAAGTGTTTTAGTATTTTAAGACCTCATAACTATACATGAAGGAGATTCTTATTTCCTTCATTATGGATGAATGTCCTTCATGTTGCAGTTGAGATATCTGCTTTTGGAGATTCCCGTAGAGAGATCTATAAAACCGTGGAAGTAGGAGGTCTGTGGCTAACCTGGGTCATGTGCACCAGTGTGGCTTTGACAAACTTGATGCCCTGAACAGTACATTGAGAATTGGCTCTAACTTTCCATACTTACCACCATTCTTAGGCAAAGGACCCGAGACCCTGTATGCAGGGCAGAAGCTCAATGACAATGAGTGGCACACCGTCCGGGTAGTGCGGAGAGGAAAAAGCCTTAAGTTAACAGTGGATGATGACGTAGCTGAGGGTAAGTGCAACTACAGTGGGCTTTGCCTCTGCTTTCACTGTCTTGTCTGCCTTTCCCCTTTTGACACTTTCTGTTTTGTTTAGTGGAACTTACACATCCTTTTCTTTATGGTCAGCTATAGGCAAGGCTAAGAATTCCCTTCCTCTGCATTTCACAATTGTTTTTCTTCAACTTGTAGTATGCAATATCATTTTTTTTTCTTTTTTTGGTTTTTCAGGACAAAGTTTCTCTGTATTGTTTTGGAGCCTGTCCTTGAACTCGCTCTGTAGACCAGGCTGGCCTCGACCTCACAGAGATCTGCCTGCCTCTGCCTCACCAGTGCTGGTATTAAGGGCATGCACCACCAATGCCCGGCCTGCAATGTTATTCTTACGAGGCTCTCTCTTTGGTGTAGAGTCTATGCCCAGAGAACAGGTATAGAACTGTAGTGCTGTATGTATCCCCTTTTTGATAATAATTGAAAATGCTTGATCAGTCACCCCCCATGTGTCTGTTCTCTCCACTGCAAACAAATCTCTCTTTACTAGAAGGAAATAGAAAGTCCAAAATTATAGACTGTCACAGAGAATTAATAAATACTAGAACTGTGGTAGGAGGTGCTGGACATGCTTGGTTTAACTAGCTGTTCGTTTATGTAATTGTTATTCACTAAGTACATACTGAGTGACAAGCATTGTTGTGGGAGGAAGTGGGGCATATAGTGATGCTCAAACAGGCAAATCCTCTGCACTGCAGATTTGTGTTTATGAAGGCAATGTGTAAATGAATGAATCCATATGTATGTAAAGGAACACTGAGAGCCCCATGCAATGTGCATGTGCTTCCTGGTGGCATGCTATATGTCAGCAATATGCTAGAATCATGAAAGATTAAAGGTAAACTAAAATTATCCATTTCCTATTATTAAACCAACTATGTAGATCAGCAGGAGCTCTGGTATTTGAAAATGTTAAGAATATGCCTTGAGATTCTGGTGTAGGTAGGTAGGATTATAATTGTCAATTCAGATGCGAAAGCAACCAACTGGGGTAGGGAACTTAAGAGTGGCTAATAAAGATAGAGTCTCTCTCAGAATTAGATGGATAATTGTAATCAATCAGGCAGTGATCCTGAGTCAGTCGCCAGCCTAGCATCCAAGCACACAGTATGCTGAATTCACATCCATAGAAGAAAATTAAACATGAGGCAGCACAGAGCAATTACATGGGACTCTGATGTCATGTGATCTAGCCTCGACATTAACTCCCTGCAGAATGACTGGGAAGCCACTCGCTATTCTTGAACCTTGTCTATTATAGTATGCAACCTCAGCTGTTGCCACCGGTGCCTTCTGTGATGAACAAGGCAGTTGGCACAGTCAAAAGCCTTGGGTTTAATATAATCAGTGTCAGTAAACTGTTTTATGCCTTTGGGATAGATATGCAAAATCTCCTTTTCTTCATTTCCGCATCTTTAAACTTGAACTTTTGTGATTTTTAAGTTCCTTTACATCATAAATGTTCTGTGACAGTGGGTCCTAAAACTTAATTTTAATTTATGAGCCTGAGCTTCTAGAATCTATGGGTGTGGGTGTGTGGGTGTGGGGGGGTGTGGGAGGAGAGAGAGAGAGAGGGAGAGAGAGAGAGAGAGAGAGAGAGAGAGAAAGTCTAGAATCCAAATAGAGGGAAAAAGCACAGCATATATCCAGTCAACATTAGATGGAGTGTTAGCTGTTTTATGATCATCAGTTCTTTTAATCTTCAATAATTCAAGACACTCTTCAAAATCAATGTTCCTATGTCATTTTACTGAAGAGGAATGGGGAAGTTAGAGCTGTGTAATTAAGCTTCAAATACACATCTGCGTGATTCCTAAGAAGGAAGCAGTTCGCTGCACTTCACAGTCCATCAAGAGCAAATGATTGCTCTTCCAGTGCAGTCAAAACATGATGAAGTGGGTAGGGGGAGGTGGCGCTACTTCCCAGGATGTTGACCACAGCACTCTGTCTTTTCTTGCTTAGAAAAATAAGGCAAACAGAGCCACAACAATCATCCCATTTACTTCAGTTCTACAAAGACACAGATCAGTTATTGGAAGGACTTCCTGACCTATGCCTTCAGGGAAACTTAATAGTATGAAATGAGTTTAGAAAATGAGATGGAAAAAAAGGCTTTGTTGTTTAGAAGCCACTTTCAATCTTCATTAATCATTCAAGCTGTCCCCATGAGCTGTGAGATCAGACAGGGGCCTGCAAAGGGAGCTGTACTAATTCCTCTGGATTTGGGGGTTAAATCCCAGAATGGTGCAATTTACGGCATGTTATATAAATAGCTGTCACCAGGTGGCACTCTCACCCCAATATCCCTCAGCAGTGAGTTCCTTTTATTCTCCTTGAAAACCACAAAACACAGGCACAAAGAATTGCAGAACCAAGGGTACAGTAATCCCTTGCCTTGATCATTGTTCTCTTGTGGAACCTTTGAAATAAAGGCAATTATGTACTGAGCTTTCTATTAGCATTAGCAATTAGAACATGGGGCTAAACCATGTAATGTCCAAGCCATCCAGTAATTTTATTTGAAATTAGTGAATTCTTTCTTTCAGCCATACCCCCTACTTCAGTGCTGTTGGAAGACAGCAGCTGTAAAGTAGAAAGAAATTTGGGAGAGGAAGAGAATTTGTCTGGTGTTTTTGTTTTTGTTTATTTTTTTACAGTGACAAGAGGTTTGGAGATCTATTTTTAATTTAGAGATTAATAAAAACAGGTAATGATTCTAAATTATACATGGTTGTAATAGGGTCTTATTGGCTTACTTAGCAATCCTTTTCCTACTGTTTAAGGTCCCCCAGTGTGCCAAATTTCTAACTAGTCTGTATAAATGACAGGAAGAATAGGCCAGACTCACATGTCATCAAAGGCCAAGAAAAAATAGTCTCCAATCTGGTGTTTTTCATTTATTATAATATAATTGTAGTCTTGGAAAAGTATTAAGTTCAGTTGACAGTTAATAAGGCTTGATTGATTGATTGGGCTAAATTTCTATTATTAAGAACAAATTAAAGAATGCTTTACTTGGTTTATGTTCCCCAGACTAGCAACCTAATGTGTCCAAACCACACATTTGGTCCAGAACGTCTTACTAGTATAAAAATTCACCTCTCTCCTCACTGCTCTGGCCCAAGCTGACTTCTCTCTTCTCCATCTACCATCTGAATAAAGCATAATTTGTCAAAATCTTCGAACAACAACTTATTACTTATGTTAATAAAACGTTGATGAATTGAAAACAGGAAAGGTTAGGTCAAAAAAGGAAGCTCTTTATTGCAAGGCTCATTATAAGCTAATGTGCATTGCTAATCACCAATAATTGAAATATGCACTAACTGCCTAATATATTTGGTTTCAGAATTTGTTTTTACAATAAGGCATTTATGGCACATGCTTTTAAAACATGCTGAGAACATGGAGGAACGTGTTTGGATCCAGTGGGGCTGGAAAATTGTGATGGAAATGGGGCAAACCGTAACCATACTTTTCTGAACTACTCTCCCATGTTTGGAAGTTATTGGGAATCTAGTGCCTTCTCCAAGCATCTCCCAATGTTATTATTATTAACACCATCACCATTATTATCATTATTATTTGGCTGAGTTTATACTGTTGACCAGAAATTATATGGGGAAATGGCCATAAAAATTATTTCCTTCCTGTTAATCCCTCAAGTATGAGCCTCCCGACATACTATTGATGCTTGCTGAACTCAGCCCCCACTGTATGCCATGAGATGCCAAGAAGGGACTAGAGTCGTCCATTTGTTAAAAAAAAAAAAAAGAGCTTACTTGTAATGTAATGTAATGTAAAGGGACAATGATTAAAACATTCAAAGAAAGGAGCATTATATGTACTGATGCCCTTAATCCTGACAAATTCATACTCATTTCACAAGTGGGAAGTGGAAGAGTAAAAAAGTAAAGAACCATGCCCAAGAATCTGGAGTTCAAATACAGGGAAGATACCCTCAGAGCCTATAAACTCATCTACTATGTGCTCTGGCCTCATGGGAAATTACAGATCTGGCCAAAATTCTCCTGGGGTTTATATTCATCTTCATTCTGAGGAGTAATATGTAGATGGCTTGTCACCTGCCAATAAACTATGGAAGCGACTGCTACTAAGGACAAAGGCAACAAGGTTGTTCTAGAAAAGATGGCCAATTATCCTGAATTAGGTAGGATGTCATATGTTACCCAGGCTGGGGAGAAGTGTGAACTCGATCACAGATACTACATGGCAGTGGTAGCATATCAATTCTCTCTACTACTTTTTCTGAGCAAGGATATGGAAAATGATTCAAAATTCTCTTCAGAGATGTTAGAGTAGACATATAAAGATGTGGTCTGCGTGCTGTGCACATCTGGATTCACTTTGAAGGGCCACTATACCACCTGTTGGGACCTTAACCAAACTGCTTCACCTCTGAACAATAATTGTCCTTTCCTCTAAGGCAACATAATGTCATCCATAACTTAATGGATGTAGTAATGACATATGCCATAGTTGGAGTGCTTAGCACAAGACCTTGCCTATAGAGACAGGTAGTCCTCATATCTCTTTATTAACATTTACTCAAGTCATTTTTCTTTCCTGTGGTATATAGAGCAGCCGTTCTGAGGTATGCATACACTTATCAATAAGTGAGAAAAAGTTTGGTCTACACAAAAATTTCAGAAGATAATATCTTATATAGAGTTCTTTGTTTCTAATATGGTTTACATGACATATAGATTTGTTGTGTGACATTTGGCTAGTTTGCTGTCAAGTTCAAGTGTCAACTGGGGCTTTTAAAAATGTTTTTATCCAATGCAGTATTGGAGGGTTTTGTAGGGTGTGTGTGTGTGTGTGTGTGGCTGGTCTAGTTTTAATCTGTATAACAGGTGTGTAGTGATATCTGGTATGTGTAAGTTTCTTTAGCGAATAACTCAGCAAACTCTTTTGCAGAACCCATGTTGCTCGATCCCCTCCTGCCAAGACTTGCAGTGTATCTTCTGCCCGAGTCATCATAGACACTGTGGCTCTGGACAAAGCTCTTGAATTCCCTTGTTCATTTCCTTTTCTTTGTTATTTATTTACTTACTTATCTATTTATTTATTTATTTAGTTTTCCCAGACAGGGTTTCTTTGTGTCACACTGGCTGTCTTGAAACTGACTCTGTAGACCAGGCTGTCCTTGAACTCACAGAGATCTACCTGCCTCTGCCCCCGAAATGCAAGAATTAAAGGTGTGTACCACCACTGCCCTGCCCTTTGCTTGTTTCTTGTCCTACTCATGCAACATTTTCCTCTGCCTCTCTTTGATCTCAACCAATACCCTATGTAATTTTTTTTCTTAATTCTGCTTTATAAAACGTTTTTCTGGTAGGCAGAATTTTCTTGATGCTCAGACCTAAAGATTAGCCTATCTAAAATTTTGCAGAAACCTCTCAGCTGAATTTAAAATTGCCTCTCTGATTCCTTTCGGAACTCTTTGGATCACATAGGATCATTGTTGCCTTTTAGTGCTTCACTCTGAAATTTTTGTGTGGAGTGACGTGAGTGAGGCACAGATAGTAACATCACGACCCTGCAATTCCTCTGACTCCATGCAGGCTGTCTGTGGTCCTCTTTCCTGCCACATTCTGAGTTGGTCCTCACACCTGCTGTGAAGAGATAGGGCCAAACTTGTGTTGGGTGTTTGTGTTTTGCTCTACTGTTTCAAAGCAAGTGAATTTTAGGTTGTATTCATTTCATGACTAGTACAATTGTCAGTGTTAAGTAATTTTATATCCTAATTCTTTTTCCTAGTTAGTCAGTTGTTAACAAATTTATGTTGCATTTTGATTTTTGCTCTAACTACAACTTATGTATTTAATGAACACCATTATTTTATTTTTGCTTATATTAAAAGAACAATTTGACACTGGTTGTCAAAACACCACCAAGAAGCTCATCAAATGATTTCTGTGCTCATTTGCAAGTCTTTGAATCACTCCTGAGTTTGTGTCTGAGGACCTAGGATCTATATTTAAAATCCAAGGAGATGAATAAATCTTTCAGACATGGTTGAATCTTTTAGATTCAAGCTAAGTTATCCAGAAGACACACACAAACCTTTCCTCTTTGACACTCAAATTCTGGACCAGTAGAGTGAAAGAAAGATGATAAGACATCAAATGTCATTTATCAGTGAGATATCTAATAGTAAAACAAGACCTTAATTTAACTGAACCTCAGAATTCAAGACATTGCTCTCATGAGCCCAAATTAGGGTCACACTGACCATCTTCACATGAGCCTCACTGGATTGTTCAGCACAACACAGATCAGTGGGGTAGGTTGGGTGTTTCCCATGCTGCTTTGCTCCTATCAAGAGAAATAGATAGTTTAAGGGAGTGGGCTACAAGCACCTGGTTTCCCTTGTAAAATTCCTTTTTTTTTTGTTTTTTTTGTTTTTTTTTGTTTCTATTACCCTTCTTGGAAAGTTATACAACAGTTAGTAAAGGGATTCTAGGAGTGCCTTGCTAGTGGAGTTTTTAAACCAGAGTGTGACTGCACCACAGGAGAGGGTTATCAGGAGGGGTCCTTCTCCCCTGACTCCAATGCCAAGTGTGAGAAAACAGTTTGTTACATCTTTGTATTCATTTTCTATAGAATTGTTAAAGAAGCCAAATTCAAATCTGGCTATACTCGTAATGTTTTCTTTGATTTTGTTTTAAAATTGTCATCTCTGTGTTTATTTCAAACCCCTGTTCATTCACAAGAACTACTCTCCCCATATTCAAACAAAGGCCATGAAAAACTTATGGCTGTTGGGGTCAATCAACTGGACCTCCCCTGATAGCAATTGTTAGAAACTCATCTCAGAGCAGCTCCAAGTATGAAGCAAAGTCTGCTGTAGTTTTCAAAAGTCCACGTTTTCTAAGGTTAGTTGTAGACACCCAAATGATGTTTGTTTTCTTCTGTTTTCTCTAAACCTTTGGAGTTGGTGTCTCTCCAGGTCAGTTCAATGCCCTCTGGTGCTGCATGGCCTCTAGGAACTCCAAACTTCTTACTCCTTAACAAGGCTTGCTTGCAATATTATTTTTATTACTGTTCTGACCAACGTTCTGCAACTGTGTGCATCCAGCAGTTTGCATGGTTGCCAGTTGGATGCTCTGAAGAATGGGTCCTTAGATCAGTCACATGAGCTTTGTTGCATCAGGAGTCAGAGGCTCGACAGATCAGGCCACACACTCTGCAACCTGTCTATCTTCCCACTCTCTGAGAGGAATTGGCAGGAGCACCTGTTATGACCCTTCAGTCTTCTTCCCTTCCCTCACTGTCCATCAAAGATGACCTAGCCACAGCATATACCATAAAATATGTATTAAATGTTCAGTGTAGGACTAGCCCTCATCCCTTGGAAAACTTTAAGGAGAAAACCATTTTGTCTGATTGAACTCATGACTCTCATGGGAACTCTGCCATGCTGCCTGTAGAATTAACAAACCTTCTCATAAAACTCTTACCCCAAGAACAATTTGTCTCATCTCCTTTCTCTTGAACGTTCATTTTTGTTTTTACATTTATATTTTTGAGGCTGAAACATACTTAGAACATTACTCTCTTCCCTTTCCTCTCTCTAAGGATTCCAATTTACCCTTACCTGCTCCCCTTAAAATTCATGGCCTCTATCTGACTAAAACTGATCGATCAGTTGGTAACTTTGGAACTTGTTAGAAATAGCTATTTTCACGTCTCACCTTGGAGTGATCAACTGAGTTTGGGGCTCAGTTATTGAGGTGTTTGGATGAAGACCAACCTTCAAGAACCACAGTTTTACTCTTGAGATCAAAAGGTTATGGTTATGTGAATAGAGATGAATTCTGCAGTCCCACCTGACTATGATAAGCTTTATCCCATTTGTAGGATTCAAGTATAAAGTGGAGCTTCTGGAAGGGAAAGTGGGTATTATTTTTAGGAAACCATGACCAGTTGTTAACAGGTAAAATCAACAGATGTTTTACAAGAGAAAAAAAATGCCTGATAAGTACCAAATAACGACTTACTACAAGAAACTGTTGGTCAGGGAAAAATGTATTCAGATTCCATTGTTTCTTTTTCTTTTCTCTTTTCCTGAGACAGGGTTTCTCTGTTTAGTCCTGGCTGTTCTAAAACTCACTCTATAAACCAGGCTGGCCTCAGACTCAGAGATCTGCCTGCCTCTGCCTCCTGAGTTGTTTCTTAAATGAAGACAATGAATGGTGCTGCCCTTTAACAGTATGCTCACAGTTTTCTTTCTGTGAGACAGCATTCTCAGCAGCTTACTGAGATGTCAAGTCAGGGGAACAACTTGGGTTGAGCTACTACTTCACTTCCTGACTGAGGTCAGATCAGGTGTACACTATGGATTTTCATGAGTATTTTCTGGAACAGAGCTCAGAAATTTGGAAACATGTTCCCCCTGTGAGAATAAGATCCCTGTGAGAATGCAGAACTTTTCCCATTCTGGCCTCTTTTCTGCTTTACAGGTACAATGGTGGGAGACCACACCCGCCTGGAGTTCCACAACATTGAAACTGGTATCATGACCGAGAAGCGTTACATCTCTGTGGTCCCTTCCAGTTTCATTGGTCATCTTCAGAGCCTCATGTTCAATGGCTTGCTCTATATTGATTTGTGCAAAAATGGGGACATCGACTACTGTGAACTGAAGGCTCGTTTCGGACTGAGGAACATCATTGCTGACCCTGTCACTTTTAAGACCAAGAGCAGCTATCTGACCCTTGCCACCCTCCAGGCCTACACCTCCATGCACCTCTTTTTCCAGTTTAAGACCACTTCAGCTGATGGCTTCATTCTCTTCAATAGTGGTGATGGCAATGATTTTATTGCAGTTGAGCTGGTCAAGGGGTAAGTAGGAGAAATCACATAGTTGATGCAGGCTACGTCTACTGAAACATCTTGCAAACTAGGGCTGTGAAGAAAACTGCCCATTTTACTCTAACCCCTCTTCCTGCTAGTACCCTCCTTGATAATAAAGAACCACAAAATGACTAGGACTGGAAAGGATAGGGACTCTTAAGGCTACTTAATAAAATTCTCCTGTTGACATTATAAATCTTTTAACTATCGTATGCAGTTCTTTGAAACTATTGTGAGGTAAGCTTGTTTATATAAACTATGGCTATGGTGTGTATTACACACATCTTTGGGGTATTACTAATTATAATCAGCAGATACATAGTAAGTTATTTTTTGACACTACTATTAGCATTACAATTTTTAATTTAAGGGGAGAGCATGGACACAATCCCCTACTACCCCAAACCATGAAATTGGGTTTCCTCAATTTGGGGAAATTGCAGAAGCTAACATTATAATTTTTAAATATATCTTTGTCTCTCCTATTTTGCTATAATATATTGGAAAGTAGTGAAATAAGAACAAAGACAGAACTGGGGATGTGGATGGTTTGCTAGAGTGCTTGTTTAGCATGCATAAGGTCCTGGGTTCCATTCCAGCAGTCCATACACGAGTGGGTGTGATGGCACATGCCTGTAAATCCAGCAGTGGCATGGATAGAAACAAGAGGATCTTGTCCCTGTGGATGCCATTCTCACCAGCTGACCTAGGTCACAAGTCAAGTGAATAACTTGAGTTGAGCTATTACTTCACTTCCTGACTGAGGTCAGATCAGGTGTGTGCTGTAAAGTATGGTGAGTCTCAGCCAGTCTCAGCGAGATAGCAAATTTGATGTCAACTTGGGCTACATAGGACTTGTTTCAAATAAACAATACACTGCCCAATATTGATTGAATTTCATGATTGGTTTTCTCTTGTATCTTGTAGGGCACTAACTGTACCAAATAGATCTAGATATTCCTATGCAGCATTAAAGCAGGAGACTTTGGGCTGGGTATGGCTACGTGCCCATAATCCCAGCACTAGAGTCTATGGAAGGAAGACTGTAAGTTCCATGCCAACCTGTACCATATTTTAAAGTCTTGACTTAAAAGAAATCTTTAAAAAATGAAAGAGGACTATCAGTCTGTGAATATGGAATTGAAATGAAGTATGATCTGATAATTACTGACAATGTTCATTGCCACTGAACTACTTCATGGTATCTGAAGTGATTATGTGCTTTTTTGTTTTTAGTAATTTTTTTTTTATTTCTCACAGGTACATACACTATGTGTTTGATCTTGGCAATGGTCCCAATGTAATCAAAGGCAACAGTGACCGCCCCCTAAATGACAACCAGTGGCACAATGTTGTCATCACTCGGGACAACAGTAATACCCACAGCCTGAAAGTGGATACTAAGGTAGTCACTCAGGTCATCAATGGTGCCAAAAATCTGGATTTGAAAGGTAATTCTTTTACAGAAGTTTATATTTTAGAACCCATCTCTCAACAGAAAAGCTGTTTCCACAGGGAAGCTCCAGGTCAGGAGTTCCAGCCATATATTTTGTACCAGACATACTACATTGGGAAAAGTGTTGACTGATACCATAAAGCCACTTATCCAGTTTCTATACAGACCATGCCTCAAAATTCTTCATGGTCTCTGATAATATTAGAAATGTATTTTAGGGGTCTGAAAGATGCGATGATAAGTCAAGGCTATGTGAAAACTTGGGAAGGTCCTTAATTCATATTCAGCTATGTCATTTCTGCCTGGGTGACATTGGTAACAGTGCTTCAGCCACACTTAGTACTGTATTTTGATACATATACCAAAAGGAGGATAATAGCTGTTCCACTCATTATGGGTGGTTATACCTTTGATGGAATGTCTGTAAAATTCTCAACATATTTCTAACAAACACATTAAAACTACTCAATATGTGGCTGATTTGTTGAAAATGTTAATCTTTTTTATCTTTTTTAACTTTTTAAATTTGAATTAGAAACAGGATTGTTTTACACGACAATCCCAGTTCCCTTCTCCCTGCTGCCCTCCCATACCACGACCCCCAACTAAAACCCAACCTATCACATATCCTTTCTGCTCCTCCTGGACAGTGAAGCCTTCCATAGGGTGTCATCAGAGTCTATCGTATCCTTTGGGATAGGGCCTAGGCCCCTCCCCATGTGTTTTGACTCAGGGACTGGGCTCCCAAAGTCCACACCTATGCTAGGGATAAGTATTGAACTACTACAGGAGGTCCCAAAGATTTCCTAGGTTTCCTCACAGAAACCCATGTTCCTGGGGTCTGGATCAGTCCCATGCTGTTATTCCAGTTATCAGTCTGGGGAGCAAGAGTTCCCCGATGTTCAGGTCAGCTGTTTCTGTGGGTTTCACCAGCCTGGGCTGGACCCCTTTGCTCTTCACTCATCCTTCTCTGCATCTGGGTTCCAGTTCAGTTTGGTGATTAGTTGTGGGTGTCTGCATCTACTTCCACCAGATGCTGGATGAAGGCATGTTTGTCTTCTTGTGATTGGGTTACCTTACTCAGAATTGTTTTCTCTAGTTTCATCCATTTTCCTGCAAATTTCAAGATTCCATTGTTTTTTTCCCACTGAGTAGTACTCCATTGTGTAAATGTACCACATTTTCTGTATCCATTCTTCGGCTGAGGGGCATCTAGGCTGCATCCAGTTTCTGGCTATTACAAATAGTGCTAATATAGACATCGTTGAACAGATGTCCTTGTTGTATGAATGTGCTTCTTTTGGGTATATGCCTAAGAGTGGAATTGCTGGATCTTGTAGTAGACTGATTCTCATTTTCTTGAGGAGTCAAAATACTGTTTTCCAAAGTGGGTGTACAAGTTGGCACTCCCACCATCAGTGGAGAAGTGTTCCCGTTTCTCCACATCCTCTCCAGCATGAACTGTCATTGGTGTTTTTGATTTTGGTCATTCTGACAGGAGTAAGATAGTATCTCAGAGTTGTGTTGATTTGCATTTCCCTGATGGCTAAGGATGTTGAACACTTTCTTATGTGTCTTTCAGCCATTTGAGAACCTCTATTGAGAATTGTCTATTTAGTTCTGTACCCCACTTTTTAATTGGGTTGTTTGGTGTTTTGGAGACTAGCTTCTTGAGTTCTTTGTATATTTTGGAGATCAGCCCTCTGTCAGATGTGGGGTTGGTGAATATCTTTTCCCAGTCTGTGGGCTGCCATTTTGTCTTGCTGTGTCCTTTGCCTTACAGAAGCTTCTCAGTTTCAGGAGGTCCCATGTATCAGTTGTTGACCCCAGTGTCTGTGCTACTGGTGTAATATTCAGGAAGCAGTCTCCTGTAGCAATTAATTCAAGGGTATTTCCCACTATGTCTTTCAATAGGTTCAGTGTAGCTGGGTTTATGTTGAGGTCTTTGATCCATTTTGACTTAAGTTTTGTGCAAGGCGATAGGGTTGGGTCTATCTGCAGTCTTCTACATGTTTGCATCCAGTTATGTCAGCACCATTTGCTGAAGATGTTCCATTGTATAAATTTGGATTGTTTGTCAAAAATCAGGTGTTCATAGGTATGTGGGTTAATATCAGGGATTTCAACTCTATTCCATTGGTCTACCTGTCTATTTTTGTGCCAATACCAAGCTGTTTTCAGGACAAATATGTTAATCTTTACTTTTTTATTTAGGAATCTTCTGCAGACAGTTGGTATGGTGATTCAAACTTTCTGAGATGTTGGACACAAGATGGATGACCTACAAGAGATACATGGGCTTTTTAAATTTTAGTAATTTAGAGAGTCTGGTCATCATTCCTATTTCAGCTGACCCCTCCACCCCATGGTTATGTTACCATCATCCAAGGAATCATTCTAAAGTGATAAGCCTTAGTGCACAGGTCTACCACATCCTTCCTCACTTGATCGCTTTTACTTTGTGGTTTCTTTTCTAGGCGACCTCTACATGGCTGGCTTAGCTCAGGGCATGTACAGCAACCTTCCAAAGCTTGTGGCCTCCCGGGATGGATTTCAGGGCTGTCTGGCCTCTGTGGACTTGAATGGGCGCCTGCCTGATCTCATCAATGATGCTCTCCACAAAAGCGGCCAGATGGAGCGAGGCTGTGAAGGTAGAACCTCTCTTCTTTCTAAGGCACAGCCTTGCCACAAGCATCAAGCCTACTTGCTTCTCTGCCAGTGCCTCTTTCCTCAGTTCACCCATCCTTTGTCATTGTCACTCACCATCCAGCAGTGCATTCTAATCGGTGTGCTCTTGTCACTGGTTGAGTATGCCAGACACGTGCCATTAGCTCTGAGAAGATGCTGGCAGATGTCCTTCCAGGGTCACATACTCGGCAGTGAAGTACTTTCCCTGTCATGGGCATCATGCTTCTCCCAATTTGTGCCTCTGTTTTCCTAGTGGCTGAATGAGCACTAGAAATTATTTCTACTTTAATAATGATAAAGGACAAAGCAAAGAGTCCAGACTGATGTCAGCATTTATAAAAAATGCTTCCCACTTTGGCTAGTAGAAGCTGGATTATTGATGCAAATGCATTGGGAGATGGAGAGATGATGTCAGAATGTCATGATGGTGAAAGGAAACTAATATTTATTGAGTACTTACTGGATCAGGCTCTGCTTGTCAGTCTCCACTGTGCTGTTGAGGAATAGCCTCAGTTCCCATGAGAGGAAGACCTGGATTAAGGTCCAAGTGACATTTGGTAATTTATTAACCATTTAGATCTGTCTTTTCTTTCTTTGTGAAACAGCACAGTAGTAGGCCCCTTCAAAAATAATATGACTAAATCAGAAAGAAACAAAATGCCTGATACATAGTAAGTACTGGATAAACGTGGGATTACTGTTCCTAAATACTATCTCATGAGAGACACATAATAGCCCTGCATGTCTACCCACACTGCACAACAAACCATGCTCTGCCTGTGTATGTAGACATTGAAAAGAACAAGTCTTTCCAGAGGTGTTGATGACTGTAAGAATAACTTATCTTTAGTCAATAGAGGGCAGCAGTGAACACTTTCTGGGTTTACTCCTGCCTTCACTTGATGGAGAAAAGACTGGAGGTCATCTACAGGCAAAGGAGTTGCTTCACAGTCACCAAGATCTAAGTATTCTTTCCTCTGGCTGAGCTTTATGGTCCTTTGTGCAATGTAGTGTGTTTTCTTGCATCCCTCTTTCATTTTCCATATCAAAACTGTTCATTCATTTCCTGTGTTCAAGTTCATGAACACAACTTTTCAAGCAGCTTCCATTAGAGTTCACTCATTCCCCTAAAGCAGAAATTTGTAAATGCTTCTCAGGCTAACTTGTGCTTAAAAAGATGTTTCCCTTTGCCTGGGTCGGTTGTCTGTGTTGGACTAGTATCAGAAGGGTCACCCCTAGGATCAGCTTCTAGTTTTCCTTTAACAAAAATATGTTTTTAATTCTGATGACCATAAATGTGTGTGTGTGTGTGTGTGTGTGTGTGTGTGTGTGTGTGTTGGGCAAGAATTTAGGAATCAAACCTAGGAATCAAACAAAGAGATTAGGTTACAAAAGTAACCATTTTGTGTTTTTCCTGAAAATGCTGTACAATTTCATTTAAATAAAAAAAATGTTTGGACTTATTGGTCTATTCACAGTTCTTTAGATGTTAAAGGACAATGCAAGGATAAATGAAGTATTTGGCATTAAGTTAAGAATCTTACTTTAGAAGGGTTAGGATGATAGTAGCTGAGCTTCTTCCAGAATGTCCCATATCAAGTTAAAGTATGAAATTACATATTAAAAAGCACAAGACAGGGCTGGAGAGATGGCAAAGGATTTCAAAGCAATCCTGCTCTTACACAGGATGCAAATTCACTTTCTAGCACCCAGATAAGGTGACTCACCACCACCTGTAACACTTGATCCAAGTATCCAACACTTCCTTCCTGCATCCACAGACCCTGAGACACTGCACTCACATGCGTCACACACACACACACACACACACACACACACACACTTAAAAACAACAACGTTTTAAAAAAGAAAGAAATCACAAGGTACTATTTAAATATAAATCATGTTACTCAGGTTAAAAAGTTGAGAAGAATCCATTTAACTCTCAGGTTGTATTGCCCAATAGAAATGCAGTATAAGGGGCAGAGGGGATGTCTCAGCAGGTAAAATACATGGTAGGCAAACATGAGGAACAGAATTCAAACCCCTAGCACCCACATAAATGCTGGGTATGTGTGGTAGCTCATCTGCAATCTCAAAGCACAGGAGACAGAGATGGATTCCTAGAGCAAGCTGATTAAGTTCATTAGCTGAGTCTGCAAGCTCTAGGTCCAAATGAGAGACTACCTGAATCGACAAGGCACACAGTCATTGAAGGAGATTCCCTTCATCAACTTCTGGCCCCTGTACACATGCACTTGCATACACATAGCACCTTTACACATACTCATAGCACACACATGCAAAAAAGAAAAAAAATAAAAAGAAAGAAAGAAATGTAGCATAAATCATATGTGTAATTAAAATTTCCTAATAGTTACATTTTAAAATGTGTAAAGTAACAGGAAATTAGTTTGCATTTTATATTTTATCTTAGTTAACCCAATATAATCCACACATTAGCATTTCAATGTGTGTAAAAAAGTGACTAACAGATGTTTTATATACTTTTGATTACATTAAATCTTCAGAAGCTTGTATACTTTGTATTTGTAGCAGCACCTACGTTCACACACTCACATTTGAAGCTCTCTTGCCATGTGTGTGTTTGGTTGCTGTGTTGGAAGCACAGCTCTATAGGATGTGAAAGTTGAGGTTGTCAGGAAATGAAGGTACAGGACTGAATTAAAGAGAGGTTAGAATTCACTTTTACAAAATGTAAAGAGTGAAGGAAGGGTTGAGCCCTACTCACCGGAGCTTTAGGGGAGATTGTGAGAATGCTAGCAGAAGGAAATTACCCATCACATGGGGGGAAATATCCCCAGGCTTCGCTGAAGCTCAGCATCAGCTTGAATGCTTCACCACATGCATTATGGTGGACTCCAGCCTTTCTGAGTATTAGGATTGTTCAAAGCTGGACACTGCGACTTGATGGCTCTCCCATCCATCTATGGCAAAGCCCGTGGGCCTAATCACATGCACTCTATTGCCATGGAGATAATTATGATGGTTGCCCACCAAGCATTAAGACTTCCCTACTGGGTGGGATGAAGTGGAGGATGAGTACCAAGGGAGGGAGGAAGATCCTTGTTTATTGTACACAAATGACTTAGATAATTATCTTAAGTGGCCAGGAAAAACGGCCAAAAAGTAGGTTAAGGCATAAATTACTATCATTGGTAGTTTGCTGCATTGTGAATACGGCCTCCCAGAAGATCCTGGGAGCCTTTTTAGGGTTTTGTGGAAATTATTCTGTAAAAGACAGTGGGGAAGAAAAATGAAGGGCCTGAAACCTTGAAGAGACTACAAAAGATTCCATTCTCATGAGTCTCTTGCACACAGCGTGTGACTCCTAAGACTATCTGAGGGTATAAGGCAAATGGGATGTATGGGAAAGAGAGCATTACTTCATAGAAAATAGAATACAAATTGGGGGTGGGGTGTCATTATCCAAAACCTTGACATGAATCTACTTAAGATAGTGAATATGGCATGCTTTTATGTAAGTAGGTTAAACAGACTAAAGTATAATATATTTTCTTGCCACAGTCAGTGGCATTGATAATTTAAGATCCCTAAAGAATAAATATACAATTTTCCCATTATTTGGTCTGCCAAGAATTTATGTAAGACATGAAAAGGGTTAGAAATTATTTTAAAATTTAGGAATTTGGTGATGTTTTGTTTTGTTTTTCTAAGAATGATCTTGAAGCAGGCTTTGCTTTTGTATCTATGATTTAGAAATTAAGTCTGATTTTTAGTCAAATTCTAGCTATGACTTTTGACCTCTCATTAGGGGCAAGACGTTTTTGAAATAATGTCTAAATTAATACTTAGCTTGTAAATACCTCTTCCCATGTTGAGATTAGAGGTTAAGGTATGTGGAGGGGAGGTGCTGTTCCACAGCTGTAGAAGGTAAACATCTGGGAGAAAAGACCACATTCTTCATTCTGGAACTAGCATGAATCAATAAAAAGGACATACGTTTGGTGCCTTTTTGCCCACAAACATTTTGTTATATTCCTACAAATTGAACAACTTAAGCATTTTAGTGTCCCCAGTGGGTGACCTGGATAGAAATGTGTAATTCTGGTGCCCTATTCCTTGGTGGCATTTTAAAGGATATAAGGGCTTGGTGTGATCAAGAGTCTCCCGTGCTCAACTCCTAAATGTTCTGAAGTATTTTTGTGGGCTTTGAATGTGCACATTTGTCTTCCAGTCTAGCCACACACTGCCTTTCTCTCTTGGCTGTATGTCTTGGGGTTGGCTGTGTATGTGTGGGAAGATTCCCCTTGCCCATCGCTTGTGCTTCATCAATTTCACTGTTTCCCTGTCCCGGCTCTGCTGACTTGGCTCCCAGGAGGCCTGCTATGCTCTGGTCTGTGCATCCCCTTGTCTGTACTGTCTCTGGTGACCTTGTAGAGCATTTCAAGTCTGAGTGATGTTGGCTATGCAGACTGCATTTTGGTTTCTGTAATGTTACCCAGTTGACTCGACTCTAACTAACCTCTGGTTATTGTTTTCGCTTTTTCTGTTCTTTTGCTAACAAAGTTGCGTTGACCAAAGCTGACCTGCAAGGTAGAGAAGGCTCTTGTACCACTTTGGAGTGAAAGATGCCCTGTGTGACCCTTGGTATCGTTATGTTAGAAGGCTTCTAGCTGTCACACTTCTGAGAGAGCAGCCATTATTGGGGAGGGGGCTGAAGGCAGTGTTCTTCCAAAAGGGTGACAGAAAACCAAAAAGTACACATGGAAAATGATTGTACAAAGGATACTTACTCCATGGGGATTAGAATATTACCCCATTCTGGCTAGGACTGAAGAGATTGGAAGCATTTTATACTATGTCCAACTATCTCCAAACGGGATCCATTCTGAAAATTATTATTACTTCTCTCATTATTTGTCATGGGGAGCCTGGTTCCTTTTAACTTGTTCAGTATAGATAGAAGGAAAAACTTTGA